AATTATTTAGTCATATACAAGATTAAAATAAAAGTAATATATAAAAATAAAATTTAATAAAAATATCAAAAAAATATTTTTTAAATTAATCGATTAGACCAATAAAACGAATTGATTCGCACTTATGTCTTTGAATCCAGTAGCGTCAAGCCACGCATAAACGTATTTTCTCCACTCTCAAAGTAACGGTTTGAATTTGATTCCATGTAAATTTATTAAAAAAAATAATAATAAAAAATAAAACGAATCGATTCAATTTATTGAATCGAACACGATGACCAAAATAAATTAACCACCAGAGTAAAGCCAAAAACACTGCACATGTCTTCCTTTACTATTAAAAAATATATCGATATCACCCCTTTCCAATTTTAGGGTAACGGTTAGTTTGTTGACCGTTAACCATTAACAATTTAGACATCCAACCCCCTTTTTCCTTTTCTTTTTACAACTGGGCTTTGGTGAGCCCTACCAGTGCCACAGTAGATCTCCTTTAAAATTGTCGCCGGCACTATTTTTGACGTCAGCCCCAAAATACGATTCAGGATCCGAGAAATTGAAGTCGGAACTCCCGTCTCTCATTTGGGGCTCTATCTCAGCCCAACTCGCCGATCCGCTAGACGGTACCAATCCTCCGATGGAACCGCCACTCTAGAACTAGAATTAGTTGCTTCCAGTAAAGAATCCAGCACTGGAGAGGACAGCAACTGAACGTACCTATTCCTCAAATGTGTGCACGAAGATGACGAAGCAGAATTCTGGACAAACTGGTTAAAAAATGTGGAGATTTCTCAAATCCGTACAGATCTGCCATTTTCGAGCAGAAAAATCAAAGGGAAAGGAGATGGAATCGAACAATAATTAGAATCAGCAGCCAGGCAACATCAAGCCGCTGGTACTTTTGCGATTAATTTCTTGCTCTCTTTCTCTGCTGTTTTTGAGAGGAAGAATTTTAGTTTTGAGGTTTTAATTAGAATTTTCGAAGATGATGAGGGTCGGCATGGAGCTCGTTTTGCAAGCTGTGTAATTAGATTTTTTATTAATCTCCTGCCTAATTATCAAACATTTTCTCACTCTCTCCGCTTTATAGCCCCATACTTATTTTACAATTCGTTATTGTCCCTTTATTTTTCTGTATACTTAATTCCGCCACATCCATATATTTTGTTCCAAAAGCTCCTTTTCTTTTAATCGTCGTATCTTTATTATTTATTAAAAAATAAAGATATTTTTTTATATTTTAATTTTTAAGACTATTTAACTTAATACAAGCTTTCAAA